AGCTCCAAAGCTACACAGAAAAACCCTGTGTTGAAAAAAAAAAAAAAAAAAAAAAAAAAAAAAGAAGCCACAGAAAGCTAATGGGCAGAGAAAGTTAACTTTTAAAGATCAATAACTAGGGGAGTAGTATGGCATTGTGGTAAAGGAATGTACTTAGCACACTAAAACACTAAAAGTTCTGGGTTCAGCCTCCAACACCCAATCAAAAAACAAAGAAAAGAAGTGTGCTTCAAGTAACTCAAAGAAATATGACTTCTTCATGTTTTTGTTTTATTTTAAGAAAGAACCTATGTAGATCAGGGTAGCCTTGATCTCACAAGATCTGACTACTTCTGTTTCTCAAATGCTGGGATTAAAAGTATGTACCACCATGCCTAGCCTGACTTGGGTTTTTTTGTTGTTTTTTTGAGACAGGGTCTTATTAAGTAGCCCAGTTGATCCTATACTCACCATCTTCCAACTTAGCTTCTTTTATATTTTAACACAGGATCTCACTATGTAGCTCTTGATGTCCTGGAACACACTATGTAGATCAGGCTGGTCTCAAACTTAGAGAGATATGTGCCTCATCAAACTGACTGCTGGGATTAAAGGCATATGCCAACATGTCCAACCTAAAATTTTTTATTGACACAGGGTCTCACTATGTTAACCAGGTTGGCTTCCCTGGCCTCAGAGTCAAAGATCCATCTGCCTCTGCCTCAAAAACCTTTAATCCCTCATATCAATAGGTACAATTTAAAAAAAAAAAAAAAAAATTACAATCTACAACCAAGTGTGGTGGCACACACCTTTAACCCTATCATTTGGGAGGTAGAAGCAGGCCGATCTCTGTGAATTCCAAACCAGACAGGCCCATACAGTAAAACCTTGTCTTAAAAAAACAGGGTACAATTTGCCCAAAATAAACCTACAGACCTAAGAGGGCTAATATTTACATAGCTGCTAACAAGAACAGTGCAAGTTTTTCCACAAATAGATAAGGGTTGAGCTCCTGGTCAGACTAAACATAGGCACAATTATCATTGTGGGTATTCTGCCAACACAAGTGTAAAGTTGTTACCAGAAGTGAGTATGTGGCTCCAAGTGGCTTACAGAATGCAACAAATTCATAGCTTTCAACGCACACAAGCCAACTCTTCTCAGAATGACCTAAGTTCTTTATTTTTTTTAAGAATTTTTAAAACAGTATGTGCCTGCATGTTTGTACACATGCTATTAGTACAATGAATTAAAAACATCTATGTGCAAGGCAAGAAAGTAAGCTCATGTCAAAGAAAAAAAAAGGTGATTGTTCATGAACAACAGTCATACTGTATCAAATGATAGTTATGCTGTTTTTAAAGTCAATAAATATAGTGTAGCACTGCCCAATTCTGAGAAAGGTGAATGTATATAAAAATTATCAGAAGAAGCCATGCACTAGTGGCACACACCTTTAATCTCAGCATTCAGAGGCAGAGGCAGGCCCGGTCTACAAAGCAAGTTCCAGGAAAGCCAGGGCTATTACACAGTGAAACCCTGTCTCGAGAAACAATCAATCAAACCAAACAGAAGGACAAAACAGTAAAAGTGCTCTTTACTAAATGGAGTTAAGTAATCTTATTAAACATTCTATGCAGAGTATGGTAGCACCTTTAATCCTTATATTCCAGAGGCAGAGGCAGGCTGGATCTCTGAGTTCAAGGATGGCCAGGGCTACAAAGAGAAACTTTTTCTGTCTTGAAAAACAAAAACCAAGCTAAATGGTTACACATTAAAAAAGAAAGAGAAAGCAGGAGCAGACTCATGACATGAATGTATGAGGATGACTTACTATTTAATCCCCAGAACCATGGGAAGCTGAGACTAGAGAATTATAAGCTTGAGGCAGGGACCCATAAAAGCTGGAGTGGCCTTTAACTTGCTGACAATGATTTTGACCTGGTCCCCTTCACATTACTTGCCAACTGCTGGGGTTACAGGCCAGCCCCATCACTGCAGGTTAATTTCTCAATGGGGAATGGAATCCAGAACTCCATGCATGGTAGACCAACTGAGGCACATCCACAACCTTGAAGTTGACCTGATTATTAAGAAAATGAAATAATACATTACAGATAAGAACACAGTACTTCATATGCTTGTTTGGTGAAACTCTATTTTAAAGACAGGATCAAAGAGATGAGGCGGGAAGATGTTTCAAGTCAAGGCCAAACTGGGCTATGTAATAAGTTCACAAACATAAACAGAGACTTTGTTTTAAAGAAAGGGGATGAGTGGGGCTAGAGAGATGGCTCAGCAGTTAGGAGCACTGATTGCTCTTCTGGAGGACCAGGGTTCAATTCCCAGAACCCACATGGCAGTTCACAATTGTCTGTTAACTCCAGTTCCAGGGACCTGACACTCATGAACATAAAAATAAATAAAAAAAATTTAAAAAGTGTAAAAATCTACAAAGAAACAATGTTAAGAGTCTGAAACAGCATCTCAAATGAATGTTAACACTAGCCAGGCGGCGGTGGTGGTGGCACACACCTTTACTCCCAGGACACGAGAAGCAAAGGCAGGGGGACCTCTGTGAGTTCCAGGCCAGCCTGGTCTACAGAGAGTTCCAGGACACCCAGGGCTGATACACACAAGAAAAGTAAAAAAGAAAAAAGACCCTGCCTTAGGTAGCTCTTTATTTTTTACCAAATGTGGGCTCTGTCCTGACATTTTTTTTCTTTTACTCCTTTTTTTCTTCAGTTTTTTAAGTACTGGGATTAAAGTCATGAATCTCTACCACCCAGCTTGGTTTCTTTCTTTCTTTTTTTTTTTTCCCCCTTTTCTTTTCTTCAAGATAGGGTTTCTCTGTAGCTTTGGATCCTGTCCTGGAATTCAATTTATAGATCAGGTTGGCCTAGAGAGGCAGAGACAGACGGATCTCTCAGAGATCCGTCTGTCTCTGCCTCCCAAGTGCTGGGATTAAAGGTGTATGCCACCGCCAACATCACTACCAAGATAGCATTTTCTAATTAAAAGTGTACCTCAAAAATTATCCATCATGGTATTTAAATATTTCCCTTTGACTCAAAATAAACCGACAGCTAGTAAATGAAGACTACACATCGTCCAGACCCTCTGGGAAGTGTGAGCATTTTATCAACACCAAAGAGACTGCAGATAAAACACGAGGAGATGAAATCAAAAGCAAGGAATAGTGATGATCCAATAGATGGTGGAGCCTTCTGTCATCAACATCCTAAATACCTCCCAACTGAAGCAGCCTTTTCATCCAAAATCAGACATCCTCACATGAACAGCAGAAAGAGGGCTCAGGAGATCTTGAATGTTAAAAGACCATTAGGGAGGAAAATGTTCCTCGGAGAAGAGATTCAGAATAAAGAATTGGAGACATGAATGATTGTGGGAAGTACATGATGACTGGAAGCACCACATAAACAAACAAAACAAAAACAAATGGGTCCATTCCTTTTTTATTAAGCCTTTCATTATTCCATTAATGGCAATAACCCCTCAACATCAGACAAAAAGGCCTCTACCCGCTGTGACCACAGAAGCATTACACTTCGACTTGTAGCTCTCGAAAACTTTCTTTGTGGCCATAGAAATACACATGTGTGTCCCTGGAAACCAGTGGAAGAAGCAAGTCTATTTTTTCTTCCCATTACAATACTAATGTAGCCATTTCACTCTAAAATTTTAAATATTCTCCTCTAAAGATTTTCAAAAACTAAAGTCTCCCTCCCTAAGTTCTTCAAAATATCAAGTGAAGGGTGGAAGGTACCTACCTAATAGAGCAAGAAAAAAGCCAAACTCGAGGGACACAAGAAAACATGTTTTCGTTAAGGTGATGTACGGGATGAATGCCTCCATTATAGGAGTCATTGTAGATATATAAAAAAAAATGCACTCCCACAGCTAACTGTAATGGCAAGACCCTTCTCTTTCAGAGCATCTGTCCATTTACTGACTCCAGGTTTGGTCCATGAATTTGACCTACCGACTCCCGCGCTCACCACTGGAGTCCAGCCTCAGCCTCTTGGAGAAGGCCGGCCTATCGCGCGCTTAGAGCTCATTGGCTCGGAGAGACGCCACTCAGGCGGGAAAAACCCGCCTCCCGCATTCCGATGGCCCAAGGGCCGATCCGTAGACAACGATAGGAAGACCTAATTGGCCTATGCACTCGTCAGTCAAACGCTTTGGTAGCGCAGCTCAAAGGGACCTGCCAGGATTAAAACATCCCGCCTCCAGTTCTCCTATTGGCTGGCCCGACCCATCGCGGCCCCTTCACTGTCGTTCCCCAAAGTCCAGCAGCGGCCCATTCATTTCGTACAATAACGAGTCCAATTGGAGCGGGTCCAGAAACTCATACGGTTAGTCAAGACTCTCTGCCACTTACCCAGGATCTACAGTGATCACTCACACTAGGGCCTGCGCGGTTCCTCTGTGGTAAAGCTGCACCACAAGCCACCGCTACCGCCGCCTTCTGCGCAACGCCAACCGCCCGCCAAAACGGATCTTTCCCTGCGCCTGCGCATCCAATCCTGGGACCAGATCTTTTCTCCGCCCAAAACGCCTGCGCAAAGCAGGACGCAGCTCCCGCCACTACGCAGGCGCCTTAGGTTCTCCACCCTCTCCCGCCCGCCATTTCACGTGTTCCAGGCCGCCAGCGGAACTCCTTAGTGCGCAGGCGTAAACTTGCCATTTTTCACTACACATGCGCTCTGTGGGTGTCGGCTGGAAAAGTGATAGAGAACTATTTTCTTAACGTATCGTGTTTTGCCAAGTGAGGTTGTAATGTTCGAACGCTGGGAAGTTATGCAAGGCATTTAAAGACATGGTTACATTCAAGTATAAACTGGTTAGCTAGTCAAAAAAAAGAAATAGCTCTCGGAGCGTCAATGACTCCGGAGGGCGGAGACTACGTTGAACGCCCCAGCAGATGCCGTCTCTTAGCAGGGCGTATCCACAGCCAAGACTGGGCGGGAACAATTTCAAATCCCCAATCAGAGTAAGACCAGGGCGGAGTCTACCAATGCCGAAAGCGAGGAGGCGGGATAAAAAGGCAAGCAGAAGGTAGGCTGGCGGATACGTTCGTTGGCTTACTCCTTTCTGCCTGTTGACGCGGCCGAGGAAGCATCGCTGAAGGCTCCCATTTCCCTGCCGTCATGTCTAAGTCGGAGGTGAGTTGTGAACGATCTACAACTTATTTTTCTTCCATACGTAATGGACAGAAAGACGTGCCACACATTTTCGTTGCTGGCAACCATGCTTTCGGTGTTTGGTCGGTCGCTGCCGAGGCCTACACAAAGTGCAGGTCGCCATTTTGTCCTCGTAGTCGCCATGAGGCTGCCGTCCGCTAACCACTAGTTTTCAAGCTCGGCCCCTAGCGGCAAAATTCATAGATAGACGATCTTGAGGGTTGTGCCTCTTTTTATTTTCTTTCTTGGCTTTGTATAATAAACGTCTGTCAAGGGGTCAGTAAGTTTTAATGGCGATTGACCAGTCCGGCCAGTGTCTTTTGTTGCGCGTGCGTGTAGAATAGGGACGCATGCGCTGCTTGCGAGCTCCCCCCCGCCCCAACAGCACCTCCTGGCTCATAGAGAAGCACGTGGTCTTGTGCAGTAATAAAGAACAATAAGAAAAGTGCGGCCTATGTTGATGCGTTGAATTGATTTATTAACTCAAGTTCCAGCCCCTTCAATAACTGGGCTCCTTTCCTCCACTTTAGTCACCCAAAGAGCCGGAACAGCTGCGAAAGCTCTTCATTGGAGGGCTGAGCTTCGAAACAACCGACGAGAGTCTGAGGAGCCATTTTGAGCAATGGGGAACACTCACTGACTGTGTGGTAAGATTTAGAAGGAACAAAAGGCGGGGCTGGTTTAATTTTATTGGTTTAGATATTATTGCTACATTTCTTAGCCAGAAGCTTTGTGAAAGTAATTAATAGTATAGTAGAAAATGGACCTTTGCTTGGGCGCATTGTATATGAAGTTTTATGCTGGCCATTTCAGAGTAGGAATGGCCTCAGGTTCTGAGATCAGGCAATATGTTGATTGAATTAACTCTAAACAGGTAATGAGAGATCCAAACACGAAGCGATCCAGGGGTTTTGGGTTCGTCACATATGCCACTGTGGAAGAAGTGGATGCCGCTATGAATGCAAGGCCACACAAGGTGGATGGAAGAGTTGTGGAACCTAAGAGAGCTGTTTCAAGAGAAGTGAGTGGGTTTTTGTTAGTTGAGTTCTCTTTATCTGTAGACTGCATAATCTCAAGGAGATTCCCACTCTAGAGTGCTGCCTTTATTAAAGGCGTGGCCCACCACAGCTGCCAATCATTGGAAATGTGCTGCTACTAATGACTGAGTCATTTTTTCATCTTAGGATTCTCAGAGACCAGGTGCCCACTTAACTGTGAAAAAGATCTTTGTTGGTGGTATTAAAGAGGACACTGAAGAACATCACTTGCGAGATTATTTTGAGCAGTATGGAAAAATTGAAGTGATTGAAATCATGACGGACAGAGGCAGTGGAAAAAAGAGAGGGTTTGCTTTTGTCACCTTTGATGACCATGACTCTGTGGACAAGATTGTTAGTAAGTGGTTTTTGTTTTGTATTTTTGTTTCTTGTTTTCAAAACTGGGTTTCTCTGTAGCTTTGGAGCCTTTTCCTGGAACACAGGCAGGCTTCAAACACAGATCCCTCTGCCTCTTACCTCCCAGTTGCTGGGATTAAATGTTTCACCACCACCCAGCTGGATTATATTTTGTTGATGACTGAAAATCAGTATATTTTAAGCTCTAAAGTTGATTTCTTTTTTTAAAGTTCAGAAATACCATACTGTGAATGGCCATAACTGTGAAGTGCGGAAAGCCCTGTCAAAGCAAGAGATGGCTAGTGCTTCATCCAGCCAGAGAGGTATATCTATCGCTTAGTTAGAATCTATGGAGGGTAGTTTGAGTTGTTGCTGCCAAGTTGGTCTAATGTAATGATCCAAACCTCTCTTAAGGTCGAAGTGGTTCCGGAAACTTTGGCGGTGGTCGTGGAGGTGGTTTTGGCGGCAATGACAATTTTGGTCGAGGGGGAAACTTCAGTGGTCGTGGTATGTATATTTTGGAATTCTGGGTAACTGCTAGCTTTTGTTTCCACCAAAATGTAGTTCTAATTGTATAGAAGTTAGTATTTGCATCATTCATATACCTAAAGCCTACTTTAAAGCTTTTTGGTTTTTTTACAGGTGGCTTCGGTGGTAGCCGTGGTGGTGGTGGATATGGTGGCAGTGGGGATGGCTATAACGGATTTGGTAATGATGGTAAGTTTCTTAAGTAGTCTGTAAGTAAATTTCCTGGCAACTTTAGACTAGGCTAGTAGAGACTAAACCTAGTGCATGACAAAGTTAAACCAGCCCCATAATACGCATGCTGTGAGCAGGCCATTGGTCATTACACTTGCATAGATTTTTTTTTTTTTTATTAAATACTTTTGTCTTATTGAGAAGGCTTGTATTCTTGTAGGTGGTTATGGAGGAGGCGGCCCTGGTTACTCTGGAGGAAGCAGAGGCTATGGAAGTGGTGGACAGGGTTATGGAAACCAGGGCAGTGGCTATGGCGGGAGTGGCAGCTATGACAGCTATAACAACGGAGGAGGCGGAGGCGGCTTTGGCGGTGGTAGTGGTAGGTATCCAGTGATGCAAGTACTTGGTGTGATAGCTAGATTAGCCTTAGTTGGACTTTAAAGCTCTTAAAGCATTGTGGGTACACTGCATGGTACATTGAAGCAGGCTTACTGTGCTACCTCCTCCTGGCTTTAAGCTGGGGCCGCCTCCCCCAAAGTAAGTAGGTGGATGAGTGGTTAGTGATATCATCAATTAAAGACAGATTAATGGTGTAGTTGAATTTAGTATCTAAATTCCATTGATACTTCAGGTATTCAGTTGATATTTATATATGTATATCCAAGAAATCTGCATTGGCAATGATTACATGAAGGCCTTGAGTCTAAAGTACTTCTAAGTACCACTCACAAAGGAAAACTCTTGCTTGCTGTTAGTTGGGTTGGTTTCTTTAAATGTTGGATTATTAACTGAATGCCTTACTCAGAATAAACTATGGATTTAGAGCTAGCAGATTTTGCAAGAAGGAAAGTATAATCTCTCATTCAGAACCATAAATAGAACTGACTCAGTTCTCAGGTCATAAAGGACTTCTTTCCATTTCTAGGAAGCAATTTCGGAGGTGGTGGAAGCTACAATGATTTTGGCAATTATAACAATCAGTCTTCAAATTTTGGACCAATGAAGGGAGGAAATTTTGGAGGCAGAAGCTCTGGCCCTTATGGTGGTGGAGGCCAATACTTTGCTAAACCACGAAACCAAGGTATAGAATACATGTGGCAAAAGGCTAAAAATTTGAGTTCCTCCTTCCTGTAACCAGAAAGATCTTGGAAACATTATTTAGGTCGTCCTCGATTAAAATGTGCAATGTTTCAGCAGATTGTTGAGTTTGTCTCTATTGAACAGAGTATTAAAACATTGTTTTGATATTTTCAGGTGGCTATGGTGGTTCCAGCAGCAGCAGCAGCTATGGCAGTGGCAGGAGGTTCTAATTACAGCCAGGTAAGTGCCTGTTTTGGGTGTGTTGACTTAATTTTATAATTAAACCCAGTAACCCTAATGTAGCTGACCAGTGCAACATAGTTAACATTATAATTGCAGTAAAATGGTGGATGTTAATATATACAGTTCAGCAAAATTTGTGGGAAACAACTTGCTCTATTGGATTGTAGCCTTGAGTATTAATGTGTGTTAGATTAACAACTTTATTCCATATTGTTCAACAGGAAACAAAGCTTAGCAGGAGAGGAGAGCCAGAGAAGTGACAGGGAAGCTACAGGTTACAACAGATTTGTGAACTCAGCCAAGCACAGTGGTGGCAGGGCCTAGCTGCTACAAAGAAGACATGTGTTAGACAATACTCATGTATATGGGCAAAAAACTCCAGGACTGTATTTGTGACTAATTGTATAACAGGTTATTTTAGTTTCTGTTCTGTGGAAAGTGTAAAGCATTCCAACAAAGGGTTTTACTGTAGACCTTTTTTCACCCATGCTGTTGATTGCTAAATGTAATAGTCTGATCATGACGCTGAATAAATGTGTCTTTTTTTTTTTTTTTTTTTTCTTTCTTTTTTTTTTTTTCTTTTTTTTTTTTTTTTTTTTTTTTAATGTGCTGTGTAAAGTTAGTCTACTCTGAAGCCATCTTGGTAAACTTCCCCAACAGTGTGAAGTTAGAATTTCAGGGTGGTGCCAAGTTTCCATTTGGGATTTATTTATATAATTGCTTGGGTGGAGAAGCCATTGTCTTCAAAAACCTTGGTGTAGTTAAACTGCCAGTTATTGTTGTGACTTTAATGAGTTTCACCATTAAAAGGGTCATCCAAGCAAAGTTTCAATTTGGTTATAAAATGGTTGTTGGCACACCCTATGCAATATCAATTGAATAATGGTATCAGATAAAATAACAGATGGGAATGAAGCTTGTGTATCATCCATTATCATGTGTAATCAATAAACGATTTAATTCTCTTGAATGGAATGACAACTGTATGGATTTGGGACTGGCAGAGATTTGGACTTTCCCTACCCAATACCCCTGGTAAATGTTGCTTGTTTGTTATCACAGTGCAAGTTCAAAGCTCTGCCAGAGTAGAAACCAGTCACTGGTTAATGCCACCAATAAGTCCACAAGTTAGAAGTGTTGGGCACCTTAAAACTGATAATAGTAAGGATAATAGTAATTGCCATGAGAGCAGGCTATAGTGAAGGAAAACTGCAGTTTAACTGGGTCATGGGTGGGTGTTCCTAAAGGTTTCTAGAAGTGATTGAGTCATTTTAAACTGTAAATTAGAAGTGTGCTTGACAATATTTCTGTATAATTTTGTATTAACAGCAGTTTTCCTTCACACTGTTATCCTGAAGTGTTCTCTATTTGTATAGAACATTAATTCAAAACAGTTACTATCCAATAATTGTTATTTGTGCATAGATTCCTTTGAGCTTCCCATTTGGTGCCCTTTAAAGTACCATTGTACCTGGTAGCATAGATGATTTGTTTGCCATAGGATTTGTATATTTCATCTCATGGTATATTTATTGCTTGGAAGTTTTGGGGAGGGGGGAGGGGATGAAGGGGTGGGGGTGGGGAGCATGGATGGTAGTTCCATGATATTGGCTGAGTTTGCAATAGCAGGTGGAACCTTAACTATTGAGGGAGTTTGCAGATACCTCAGGAATCGGGACAATGCCTTTAAAGATCCAGGAGATGTTCAGCTACTAGGAACTGCTAGCAAGTATAGCGCGAATGGCTTCGAGCTCAGAAACTCTACAGCTGAGAGTAGACACTTGTGGTATGTGGAGTACAGATAAGCCAGGGGCAGGCCACGGCACCTCCATGAAAGCTAGGAGGGAGTGAAGTTTCAGTGATCATCGCAAGGAAGGAGGCAGACAAGAGTAAGGCACACACCTGACTCTTAGGACTAGCAGGCAGAACCAGAAGGAAAGGTTTTATTGCTATGCTGGTAGGTAAGAACAGATTTTACTTCATCCATATAGTGTAAAGTCCAATTTTCTGTTGGATTTTTCTTTATATATATTGAGCCAAAACTAGTCCAGTTAAGCTGCACTTGGTTTTTCTGGAGATGAATTATTTTAATTAATGCCCATATTGTTCCTTACTTGAAGGAAGTGAACAACACATTCCTTTGTGAAGAATGCATTTGGCCCTTCCTTTGACCCATTTTCTTAAAGTAGTGGCTCAAAGTAACTATATTAGACACCTTTCCCCAAAAAGATGGTGGGAGGATGGGTGGATCATTATAACGGGAGGGGGTGGGGTAGCTTTAAGATGGGAATTGGCCTCACAAAAGACTAGTTCTAAAGGTTGCTTACTTTTCTAGGGAGGAATCTGCTTTTCAAGGCTTAACCACTGCTGTAAGATTTTGAAAATCCTTCACAAGTTCTTGGCTAAAAAGGTAAGTTTTTAAATGGTTTGTGACTTTCTGCCCAGATACTAAAAGCAAACTTCTCAATTAAAAAAAGATACCATGGCAGAATGTCAACAGGGGGAGGGGTTGATAATGGAATCCAGTTTAATACTACGTGGCTTTCTCCTTTGCAGGAATGTCCATATGGGAGCAGCCTTTATTCTGGGCCACTGTACTTCATTCTCACTGCCATGCAGTTGGGTTCTAACTATGCTGTGAAAATCATTCAGTTTTGTGAATGGCTTAGTTTGTTTTTTTAAATAAACTGCAATTTTTTAACTTGGTTCTGTTGTCTCCTTGTATAATCTAATTAGCAAGTGACTTGGTCAAATTGAGGTTGGGAAATGTGGATGTCAGTGAATTAGCTGTAACTGAGATTTATGGCTTTGACTTTTCTTAGGAAGTGGGTTACACATGTTCTAGACATGACCACATTGGGTGCTGTACACTATAAATCCCAATTTAGGAATACTGAGGCAGCAGCTTGTGTCCAGCCCTGATCTTTGCCTCTGGAACACTGCTGTATTTTCAGTGAAAGAAGACAAGGTAGATCTTGAGTAGGGTTTGGTATATAGTATCACAGCACTTGTGAGGTCTGAGAATTATGAGCTCAAAGTAATTGACTGATGCACAAGTATAAGCCCAGCTTGTTAACATAGCATCCTGCCTATATATGGTTAGCCTTATAATGGGTAATTTCAAGGGAATACCTGACTCCAAAGGCTTTTGCATGAACATGATATATATATTCAGTCACACAAAACAAAAACTTAGGGGTGGGCTGGGTATGGTGGTGGTACACTTAATCTCAGCACTTCATGAGTTAGCCAACCTGGTCTACATAGTGAGACCCTGTCTCAAATGACAGTTTATCCAAAAGAGTAGAAATTATAGTGCCCCTGCTCTCCCCCCCCCCCCCCAATTTGATAGCATTTGTCTTGACCAGGGAGGGAGTAGGGTTGTAGCCTCATCACTTGCCTAGCTTTTTTGGAGCTCAGTGCACAATGTAAAAGTTGTACAGGAGTGCACACTTGAATGTGCAATATCTAACCTCATTTCAGTCAAGAACAGTCCCTTGGTCTTCAAAAATCTTCTGGCCTATCAGACCCAGGGTGGGAAGTAAGCAAGAGAAAACTAAAGGGGTTTGTGTGAGCTCTAAAGGCTTTACATGGAGGATGACATGAACCCTCTTTGACAGCTCATGTAATTTATGAATTGGCCATCAAGGACAGGTTCCTCAAAGCCATGGTTCCTGACTGGGGTGTGAAGGTGGGTAGACTGGCACATTGGTCATGTACTTAAAATGAGCTCAGGACTTGCCTTCACCAAGTGGTGATTCCTGAGATCTCCATCACACTCAAGAAGGAAGACACAAGGGAAAGCTTATTTCCACACAGCTCTTTATGGACCAAAGCTTAGACAGAAGGTGGAGATTTAGGGGCCTGGGAAGCCAGCATTCACCAGGACTCCAGGCAAACCTTATTGAACATACCTTGGAACATCCAAATGCTAAGGTTGCATCTTCCCTCTTGGTCTGGAGAACGCAATGCCTTATGGGTCCTGGGGTTGGGAAGTACCTTTATCAGAAGGGAATGAGGGGAGCCCTAGCACCATCGTCAGTCTCCTCTAAGCCAACTCAATCTGTGGCCTCCATCTTGGTCCCACGGGGTACCAGAAAGATGGCCCCATCAGCAGCCTGTTGCAGTACATATTCCTCCGGTGAATAACTGTTGCCAGATTCATCCCGAAGATGCTGGAAAATGTCATGGTACAGCTCTGCCAGTTGTTGGCGCATGACCTCCAGAGTACGGTCGGCTTCCCCTCGGGCTCTGAGGAGCCGCTCTCTTTCACTACCCAGCCTCTCCAGTTCTCGCTCCAGCTGCACAATGGTTTCCAGTTTTCTCTTGCGACAATTCTGGGCTGCCACCTTGTTCTTGCCCCGCCGTCGGATGTCCCGAACTAGAGCCAGCTGGCTCTCTGTTAGCGGGTACTGCGCCAACAGCTCATTAAAGTCGTCTACAGGCAAGTTGACGATCTTGTCCGTAGGAAAAGGAATCTTCATGGCCAGGGCCCGCCGCTCATCCCGACTCCCTGCTTCTCCCCTGACAGCAGGCTTAGCACGCACAGGGCCAGAAGATGACTCTAAGACCAAGGGTGTCTCAGTGGGCGGCAAAGTAAAATTGGGGTGGGCCAGGGAGTTGGGCATATGGGAGTAAGGGTACTCCACCGGGTACATGTCCACATACTCGCTCCTCCGCCTGCCAGCCTCTGCACCCTCTAGCTCAAGAGATTCTGCATCACTGTAGTTGAGAGATAATCCTGAGTCGGATTCTGGGTCTTCTTGGGGCTTGGGTGGCCCCACTGGTAGCCCAATGTCCAGGAGAGCTAAAGGGTCAGGGAGGGGCTCATTGAGCAGGCCTGAAAGGGTGAGTGGCTTTGACACTGGTATAGCCATGTTGCCATAGGAGTATGGAAGATCTGGTACATGGGGAGTGGATGCTGCTGGCAGCTCATAAGGTGGTAGGGGCAGGGAGAAGCCTGGATCTGGGTGAACTGAACAGGGGCAGTATGTTGGAGGTGGCAGTGGTCCAGCATATGGGGTAGGTACTTGGGGCTCAAAGGATGGCTCACTTGGAACATTTAGACCCTGCAAAGAAAGACAAAAAAGGTTAGAAGATAGACTATGATGGGTGATAGTGGCACACACCTTTAAATCTCAGCATTTAGGAGGCAGAGGCAGACCAATCTCCCAAAAGTTCCAGGATAGCCTTGTCTACAAAGCAAGTTCCAGGACAGCAAGAACTACACAGATAAACCATATCTTGAAAAACAAAAACAAACATGGAGAAGAAATAGGTGCAAAATGGAAGAAAGATGATCCCATGTGATAGAACATGGATTAATATAAATGGGTTACTTTAAGTTATAAGAGCTAGTTAGGAATAAATCAAAACTATAGGCCATAATGTCATAATTTCATAATTTAAAAAAAGAAGGAAAATAAAAAATACAGTGGAAGGTTCTTGCATAGTGATAATGGCATTGTTTCAAGAAGAAAGCAGCTTGCTGGCATGGTGGCATAAGCTTATCATACCAGTATTTGAGATGTAGAAACAGGAGGGTCAAGAGTTTAAGGTCAGTCTTGGCCACATAGCAAGTACAAAGCCATCGTGGGCTGTGTGAGACCCTGTTTCAAAAAAAAAAAAAAAAAAAGGTGGGGGCTGGACTGGAGAGTTGGCTCAGCAGTTAAGGGCAGAAGCTGCTCTTGCAGAGGACCCAGGTTCAATTCCCAGTACCCACATGGCAGCTCACACCTCTCTGTATCTAGGGTATCTAAAACCTTCACACAGACATACATGCAAGCAAAACAGGAATGTACATGAGATTTAAAAATAAAATCAAGAGGCCCTTAATCCAAGTACTCAAGGGACAGGTGTATCTCTCTGAGTTCAAGACCATCCTGGTATACACAGCAAACTCCGGGGCTACCTAGTGAGTCCCTGTCTGGGAAAAAGAAAGAAGCTGAGCATGGTGGTACACACCATTCATCTCCGCACTGGAGAGGCAGAAGCAGTCAAATCTCTGGGTTTAAGGCCGGCCTGATCTACAGAGTGAGTTCCAGGACAGCCAGAGTACACTGGGAAACCCTGTCTTGAGAAACAAAAAAGGAAAAGTAGAGAGGAGGAGGAAGAAGAGCAGTCTGGGTAGGAATAAAAGTCACTGTGGCAAGATAACTTCACACTGAAATGGGTACAGAGTCTCCTCCTAAGAAGAAACTCTTACTGGGCTAAATAGTTCCTGTTCCTTTACTTTCTTTAGAAAGGCAAGGCCATTCATACCCAAGATGGACCCCCCCCAGAATCCTTTTCCTGTTATGATTAGCTAGGGTCAAAGGGTCAAGTCCAAGGCCTCGCCATTCCCTGGGTGCCCAGCAGAGGGAGCTGGTGCGTGGGAGGAGGGTCTAGGGCAGAACCTGAGGACACCAGGCCTGTGGTCTGGGCAGGCACAGAGGCCAGGTTGGGGGTTAGCCCTCTGTCCAGGTGCAGTGAGGAGAAGAACACATGTTACAAACAAGGCCCCCAACTTACGTAGGAGAGCTATCCTGCTCAAGCTCAGCTGAGGACAAAGACATCATTGTTAGACCAACAGATACCCCTTTGTCCAACATTCAGGAGGAGAGGACCCCGGCATAGTCTGTCTCCCCTTTCTGAGGCCCTTTAACTAAGGCTCTGCTACCTGGAGGAAAGGAGCTTGTTGCTAAGGGTGAGGTGTGGTAATGAGGGAAGATGGGCAGTCCTGGAAAAGAGGTAGATCAGATGAGAAGAAAATAGAGAGGGGCAGAGAAGAGGGTAATAGAAATGTGAGCAGAGCAGCTGAGCAGGAGCCCACATCCTCCTTCCCTTCCCCCTCTCCCCTGTGTTCCTCATTGCCCTCCCCCCTTCGGTCTCTGGCAAGGCCAGAGCCCCTACCCATACCGCAGTGCCTATCCCATACTCACCTGCAGCTCAGTAATGGACATGATCTCTTGCCAAGTCAATTCCATCTCACCCAGCTCCCCAACAGGCAGCTGTGACAACCTGTCCCTGTTCTGCTGAGGAGGACACGGGGGCATCCTACTGTGCCAGCTTCTGGCCCTGGTTCCTCCAAAGCTCAAAGGGCTCCAGCAACCTGTGTGGACAAAAGAAAGGGTTAGAGCTGCTTCTGCCAGTTTGAAAATTTGCCCTGTCCCTATGCAGAATCCCCAGAAGTAAGGAGCAATGTCAGTGGTTCACTCAAGCCAGGATCATCAACATTCTTTTCTGTGGCATACTCTCTACCTCACCTGCTCTGGCCATAGTCAGTCCTCTGGGCACACAGTAGGTATCTTTACTTTTTCTCAGACAAGATGTCTTCTCTTAACTCCCTAAAAATGGCATTCCTGTCCAGAGGCAAAATCCAGTCTTCTGAGGTTTTGTGATTTAGGTTTTGTTTTCCATTCTGGGAGGAATCATCAAGAGTCACCCATGCCTTCCTCTCAGGTCCTCAGTTTTGTTGTTTGAAGCAGGATCTTATTATGTAGCCCTGGCTGTCCTGGAACTTGCTCTGTAGATTAGGCTGGCCTCTGACTCACAGAGACCGGCCTGCCTCTGCCTCCTGAGTGCTGGCATTAGAGGTGTGTGTGCGCGCCACCACGCCTAGCATTTCAGCTCTTTCCTTTCTTCCCAAGATGTGAGTGAGTGAGCGAGCGAGTGAGTGAGTGAGTGAGTGAGTGAGCGAGCGAGTGAGCGAGTGAGTGAGTGAGTGCTTGGGGATCCCCAAGCAGTGTGTTATGGGAAATGCAGGCAAACAGCCCCTCCCTTTGTCTTAGATAGGACCCAGGCCTGCTGGTGATAGCAGCCCAGCACTCTACTCCCATCCTTACTCTTGGCTTCTCTGCCTGAGCCCGATAAGAGGCATATCAGCTGCAGGCAGCAGAGGCAGAGGAGGAATGGGCTCCAGGAGACACTGGACCTCTACCCTGTATCCCAACCAGAACATTTGGCCATGCCCGACCCCACATGACCATGGCTCCTTTCTCTTCCAAGGTCAACACACAGCAAAGACTTAGCAAGTGAGTAAAAAATTGTGCTGGAATTCACAAAGACCTTGTAAGGGGTAGAAGGCAAACACTGAAGCCCAAGCTGATAGGTGGCAGATTGGAACCTTGCTGCATTCTAGGCACCTTTGGTTCCCTAGGTGTGGGTTGCCCAAAACCCACACCTCTAAAGGCAGTCTACACTAGTAAGTTCCCAAAATGTCTCACACTTTTCTTTTCTGGGAAATACCTCTTTGGGCCCTCAAGTACCCCCAATCCTTCAGCCCCTCTTCCTTTAATCTGGACTACAGCTTCAGTTCTGCCACAAAGCAGCAGTGGGGTAGTTGGGCAAGCCATCTCACTGATCCCAGTCAGTTTTACCAGTTGTAAAGCCAGGGGGCTAGACAACTTGAACTGGAAGAATTCCTTGCTGCTTTGGACAGTTCTCTGCAAACTCTTACCCTTGCTTTTATTATCTCCTCTTGGTTCCTACCTCCACATTCCCCGATACCCATCTCTATCTGAATCTGTTCTCTTTGTGTCCAACAATAGATTCCATGTAGAATTAGCAAAGTTCTCCTGATCTCTCAAGGACAGATACAGCATTACATGTACATGCATGCACATTTACAGTAAATATCATACAAATAAAGGAAACCTTACAGAAGAACAGAGGATGGGACTGCATGACCTCAAATTGTATTGTATGACTTCACATCACCCAACATAAGAATAGCCCATCCCTGCCATTCATTATGGAATCCCCTCTTCTATCTACCACAAAATGTATTACCACTACCAAGTGTCCTTTTTCACAGCTGATCTACCTGAGGCTCTGCCTCCACCCTCTTGCTATAATGCCATCCCCAGAAATGGGAGTTGGTATAAGCACAGGCCTTTGACCAATGGGTAGAATGGGTGTGGTGTTTATGTCTGTCCAGGATGCCATTTCAACACCGGAACTCCACCCTCCCCACCCAGGTTCTGGCGGAAATTGCCCAAAGGCAGAGTGAATGGAGAAGGACTTTGGGGGTGGGCAGGGACTATGACTATTGCCTCATAGTTCTTCACACACTCTACCTCTCTTTGTCTCTCCTGCCTTCCTGAGTATGAATCTGAGGTACAAGACAAAGATCTTGCCCTAGAAGGCAAGGTTCTCTACTCTTCAAGATGCTTGACCTTGGAAAAATTGCATCATAGTCTTCAATTAAATGAAGTCAGGACTAGAGAACTTTACTGCTATAAGAAGGAACAGACTGCATCTAGTCAGAGCCACAAATCTTATGTGCACCACATTCACCTGGGGTATATGGAAAACATTCCTAAAGGCCATTCAGGCCTGCTGAACTGAATTCATGTACAGGTACCTAAGAACAAGCATTTCAACAAATGTCCTAGACATTTTCCATACATGGGCCAATTTTGCCTCAAGAAACATAGCTAGATAAATTTGCAAGAAAAAACACAAAGTTAGAAAAGGGACAACAAATGTTCTATAGTCTTCACTTAACTGCAAACCCTTGACCCTAAGCAAGGCTAGACTCCAGGTGGTACCTAGCTATCCGTCCTTTACCATAAAGACCTAGAGGTGGATCTTTTCCCTCTTCTTAGGATTAAAAAAAGAAAAAAGAAAGGGTAGAGGAACAGGAAGAGGCTAGAGGCTGAGCAGTGGTTCATAAAGGAAACCACTGGACCATCGCTTGCATCAGGCATAGGCCCTTTGGGTCTTGGGAGCCTGCCTTTCGGAGCAAGCAAACTTGCAACCAGTAGGAATCAGACATGATCAAATAGAACACCAAAGAGGGTACTGAAAAAAAGAATTGGGGGAAGGGGAACATAGGCTAAGCTTCCAGGGGCCCTTGTATTTAGCAAAAGCAGCTCTTGTTTTTACACAGTAGCCCTCATCTTCAGGTCATACAATCACTGAATCCACTGGGTTGGTTGTTCTCTTTAGTTCTCAGCACTGTGGATCAGATATAATTTGAGCCAAACACAGAAACTAACCTCCATTCTTCCATCCTTCTTTCCCCTTTCATCCTGGTGGTCCTACCTACTTTCCTCTTTCTTCCCCTTTCTCTCTTCCTCCCTCTCCTCTACTATCCCTCCCTCCTGGTTTCCCTCCAGACAAATCCAAAACCTTGAATATGCCAGGTCAGCACTCTACCACTAAGCTACATCCCTAGAATTCTCCAATGATCTTCTAATGATCCCTAGGACTTCACAGAAATATGAAGCTTTCTAATTAAGGATACGGGATAATTTGGAAAGGAAGACATTTTACCTTCCACTGCTAGTCCAGAACTTTTAACTTCTTTGATAGGGAGCTTGCCTCAGTGTGCTTTATAGAGGCTTACTAGGTTCCTCCACCTCTCCTGGTGCCAACACAAACAATGGAAGGATTGAGGAGATATGAGTAAAATTTGGTGTGTAGATTAGCAGGTAAGCAACCTAGTTACAAAGATCAAGGAGAACTTCCCAAAAGGGAGAGGCACACAGAGGTGAAATAGAGAAATAGACTGAAGGGGGAAGAAAAAAAGTATTTAAGCCAGGAAAGCTTAGTCCCCTGGGAGCATACATGACTCAGATGATGCTTGGGAACAAATTCGGCTCTCCTGTGACTTTATCCCTAGAACCCAAACTCTGGCTCTTTGAAAGCAATGAGTTGAGGCTGTAGCCCAGCCGATCTGGTGGCTCCCGCTCTCTCGAACAGCATCTCAACCTCCAGCTACAAGCAGCCAAGAGTTCCCACAGATGCACCTACACTGACTGGGGTTGGATGCCCTCCTGTTTGCAGATCCAGCTTAGCTCCACTGCCCCAGGACTGGAGAGGAAGAGAAGCAGCCGGCAAGAACTCAACTCCTCTCAGTCAACCACCCCACCTTTGCTGTAGCAAGGCTTCTCAGAAATTCTGATATCCAATATCTATCTATAGTTCCTAAGCTTCCCCCAAATCTAATGGCTGGAGTGGAGAAGGGGACATGGCACCGTATTACTGGAGCTTACTAGCTACCTCAGACAACAGGCCAATGGAAGGGTTCCTTCTGGTTACTCCCCTGTTCCTCCAAGGCACCTGGAGAAAGCACTGTGAGCTCCCCATCCACCACCTCCCACCACAAGAATCCCAGAACAGCCAGGAAGCCACCCAAAGTTATCTCCAAAGTATCTCCAAGTATTATTACTCCAAAGTTATCAATTTCCTACACCAGGGCCAGTCTAAGAAGATGTCTTCGAAACATCCAGGCAGAAAGTTAGGTATTCCTCCCTGTATCTCCTCCACCTGCCCAGCTTGCCCTCCTGAGATGCCACTGAGGGCCCCTCCCCCCAGCCCCTACTCGCTTTTCAGGCACCTGTGGTGGATTCCAAGCCTTGAGAGGAGAGAGATGAGGCTGCGGGTCTTGTCCCTGGGAGGCTAGGTCAGAGCTGACACCTCCGGTACAGCGCTGAGCGCTGCCTCTGAGCGCCGCCAAGGGCCGAGCCCCGCCCCCGGGCCATAGCTGGGCAAGGAGCACTGGTTGGCCTCGGTAGCTGGTGCACCGGTGGTCTCTCTGAAGCCCTCGGCCGGAGTTAGCAGTGCTTCCTCCAACCCTTCCCTTTCCCCGTGGCCCTCCTCTCCTCCTGCCCCTTCTGGCCAAGAGAGGAAATTTGAGCCCTGTGTGGTTTCTGCCTGCACCCCGCCCCCGCCTCTCTAGGGCCACAGGGGCACCCGGGGCTCACAGGTTCCTGGCCCTCTCCAGTGAATCCAGGACTGTTCACTCCCTGCCGGGCTGACTGATACTCCACTCAAAAGTGACCCCTAAACTTACACACAGTCATCAGCCTCCTCTTTTTCCCTGGTGATGGCTCTTAGGGACAGATAGGGAAACTGAGTCATAGCAAAGCAGGGGGCAGCAGACAGGACCAGGTGTCTGAGTTCAATTTGCTTCCGGCCTCAGCCTCCTCTTCTAGAAAGCCAGGATTCTAAGAGAATTAATCCTGGGCTGGGGGTGGGGTGGGATTCTGGCTGCTTAGAGGCATCTTCTAACGTGTAGCCTCTCTCTCCACCTCCCACTCCCCAGCCTCAGATGCTCTAGGACAGGCTTCTTCTTTTTGATCATGTTTATTTATTTATTACCAATTGTATGAGGGGTGTGGGGTAGTGTCCTTAGGTGTCTAAGGCTGTCCTGGCAGGTGATTTTTAGTCTCCCTAAAGGGATCCTTCTTTCTTCCGGTCCAAGACACATGTGTGCATCAGCTTCATCTCTAAGTACACAGCAGCTCTATATGAGGCTAGTGTGTCTTCCCAGAAGTCTCTCATCCTTCTGCCTCCAAGTCACAGGTAAAGTAGTTCTTTCTAGAAGGGAAGTCTGCCTTCCAGTGTTAGTAGTTTTCAGTTGTTTTGTGATAGGGTCTTTGGAGATGGGATAGCCAAAGCCAACTCAAAACTGGCTTTGTGACCAAGAATTTGAACTCCTAATGGTTCTGCCTTCACCTCCAAAATGCTGGAATTATAGACATGTTCACTGTGCCCACTTTAGCAACTTTCAGCTCAAAGGAACACATCTCTTTGATCTAATGTCAGTTCTGATTGATGCAGCTTATGGTTTTGCTCTATTATTTTCCTTGCTGATATTCAAGTTAATTTGGAAACAGTTACAGACCAGAAGCAAGCTGGGTGTTTGGCAAAAGATCTATAACCCCAGTACTCAGAAGGTGGAAGAAACAAGATCAGTAGTTCAAGACCATCCTTGGCTACATAGTGAGTTCGAGGCCAGCATAAGATGCATGGGACCCTGTCTTGGAAAAAAAATAAAATAGGCAGGAAGCCAAAGAGTGTTACCTCAAGGCAGAGTTGTCATTCTTCCAGTTCTTCCAATAGCATTGTCCTCGCTATTAGAATAATGGGAATATTCAGTCCTGGAGCATGAACCGAAGCTGCTGGGAGCCCTCCAACCTTCCCTTCACAAATACCTCTTCTTTGGCCACTCCAGTTCTCCTCAGTATCCTCCACAATCTGGCAACACAGTCAAGCAAGTAATGATGGAGTGTTGTTACCACAAGGAGCCTCCCATCAAGCTAGCATGTCTGAGATTGCTCATGCCCAGCTAGACTCAAGGCTGAGTGCTCTGCATTCCATCCTGATCGAAGGCACTCATGCCTTTAGTTCATGGTTTATGTGGGACAGTAGGCAATCCAATGACTTTATTTCATGCTGGATGTGGGCTCAGGGCCTGGTATGGAACCGAATCTAGGTCACATACATACATGTGCATACTTATTCGGGTCCTCATAGGAGATCAGAGGTAGCAACAGTCAAACGTGCAGTTGATTATATAGTGATATTAGGTCACAGATAGTCTGTGAACACAGTGTAGTAGCATTTCAGATACCTCAATAGACAACAAAGACCTTAGCCTTCCTTCATTCAAATATATTTATTTTCTATGCCAGAAACACACATATGACTAAGACAGTCCATGTTCTCACACACAGTCAGATCTATAGCCAGTGGACATGATGATACATGCCTAAAAACCCAGCACTTGGGAGGCATGAGCATGTGGACAGAGATTTCCAGGCCAACCTGTACTATATAGTGAGTTTCCAGATCAGCATGTAATGAAAGACTATTTAAAAAAGAAAATACTGGTTGTAGTGGCATATGCTTATAAACCCAGCTTTCATGGTGCAAAGGCAAAAATAAATATAAATAAATAAGTAATAAAAAAATATCAACTCCAAGTTCCAGACCAGTCTGATCTATACAATAAGTCCAAGCCAGCCAGGGCTATGTAGCAAGACCCTGTCTCAAAAACAAAAAGTATATATGAACCATTATGGAATGGAATAAATAAATTCTATCTGGTGGAATTTAGGAACGGCTTTCCAATGGCTCTGGGCCGTGGAGAAAGGAGAAAAAAGTATTCTGGCAAAGATATGGGTACAGTGAGGCATGAATATGATACTTTGGACTTTCTGGAGTAGGCTTAAGGTGACAAGTAGATGATGATAAGCCTAAAGATCCCCAGGGCCTGGGGATGTCACCAAGTGGTAAGCATTTTCCTAAGTCCTAGGATCTTGGATAAGGAGACCTGTGAAATTTGACAGTGGCTGAAGGGCAAAGCATTCTGAGAATCAAACTTGGGGGGGGGGGAGATATTCTGTCCTGCAAACAGCAGGGACTTCTAGAAATATCTGAACTCCTTTACATGCTATTTGTTGGGATGTGGTCAGGTATGATGAGCTAAGTAAGCAGTCAGCCTTCACTGAGGCACGAGCCCCTACTCCACCTCACCCCCTCTCAAGACCTGTCCTGGGGTTTCTGGGCTGCATCCTGTCTCCATGTCATCTCTGGAAGAAGGAGATTTCCTTTAGCCCTCTCATGTCCACAGTCACTGTCCTCCTATACCAAGTCTCTTTTGTTTGACTTACAATCTGCAGGGTGTTAGGGGAGTGCCACCTGAGTGGATTGCATAGACTTGTCCAAGTGATGATGACTAAGAGTTTCCTGTCTTGCTGGGCAGTGGTGGTGTATGATTTTAATCCCAGCACTCAAGAGGCAGACAGAGGCAGGCAGATCTCTGTGAGTTAGAGGCCAGCCTGGTCTGATCTACAGAGTGAGTTCCAGATCAGCCAACAAAACAAAACAAAAACAAAAAACAACAACAACAGAAGATTTTTCTTTCAGTCTCCAAAATTCTTCTATTTCAACGGAATACAGAAAACTGTATATACTTTACTATATTAACAGTTTCCACCTTTGCTGTTCAACCACCCCTAAATGGTTAATCTGTCACCCCTGGCCAACCCACCCCCTTTACGTATGTGCACACCACCATCAGCACCAGGTCAAGCCACAGCAATGTTGCCAAACACCCCACTGGGTTATGCAACCAGCTTCCCGAGAAGGGTGAGCTGGGCGGGGTGGGTAGAGGTGGAACCAGGGGAGGGCCATGGGTCCCACAGGGAACTGGCTGCCTCACCCGGCTTGCCTACTGGTGTGACCGCAGTGGCCCCAGAGGGCGGGGATAGGACTGGCCTTTTATCAGTGCCAGGCAGCATTGCACCCGCCACCCCCTGGCTTCCTCTCTCAACAGACGGAAAGGGGAGGCAGCCACAGGGGGCCAGGGGAAGGGCTGGGTGTTATCCTAAACAGCAGAGCTGGGCGGTTACCCCGGATGGGGGAGGTGGTGAAGGATGCCTGAGACCAGGGAATACTGAAACTCCCTAGCTGAAGTCGGGAGTGGGGGTAGTTATAAACTGAGGCTAGAAAGTGGAGTATGATCTCCGGAGTCATCACTCATTTTCCTTGTGTTCCAGTTTGAATGAGCATAGGATTTTTCCCATCTCTTACAGGAGGTTCCTTTCCTCAGATAAGAATTCTCAGAGAACTGACTGTGAAGGTGGAAGGGATACTACAATCTGAGGCTACAACAGCTGGAGGCGGCCCAGGGACTTGAGCGATCCTCAGTTTCCCTGGACTCTGGCTTTTTGCTGGCAGAGCCTGAAGTTAGAATATCCCAGGGGGGAAAAATAGCAAAAATAACCCTTGGAGGGGAGGGCCTGAAGAGATGGCTCAGCGGTTAAGAACACTAACTGATCTTTCAGGTGACCAGGGGTTCAATTCTCAGCACTCATACAGTAGTAGCTCATAACTCTAACTCCAGTTGCAGGACCTCAGACACCATCACACAAACAAACACGTAGGCAAAACACTAATGCACACAAAATGAAAATAAGTAAATCTTTAAAAAAGAAAATAGCCTTGGAGCATACTTCTACCTAAACCTAGAAGAAATAGGTATCCTCATACAATGAGGATCAGATTTTCTTTTCCTTCCTTTTTGTTTTCTTTTTCCTTTATTATTATTATTTTTTTTTCTAGGAGCTGGAGAGATAGCTCGGTGGTCAAAACTGTCCTTCCAGAGGACCAGAGTTCAATTCCTAGCAACCACATTTAAAAAAAAATTTTTTTTTGGCTGTCCTGGAACTCACTCTATAGACCAGATATACCAGGCTGATCTCGAACTCAAGAGATTCATCTGCCTCTACCTCTGGAGTGCTGGGGTTAAAGGCACACCGACATGCTGAGCGCTTTTTTTTTTTTTTTTTTTTTTTTTTTTTTTTGACACAAGCGTCTCATTCTGGAGCTTTAACCTGGGGCTCACTATGTAGCCCAGGCTGGCACTGAACTCCCTCCCAGCTCTGCTCCTACCTCAGCTTCCTGAGTGCTAGGATTGCAGCTTCAGTTACCACACCCAGTTTAGGATCACATCTTGATTTTTTTTTTTCTTTTGAATTTTGCTTTTCTCCTAGGATCTTGAATCTAACTACCTATGTTTCAGCCCTGGCATTTATTACTGACTGTGTGGCCCAGGCAACACAACCTTTCTGAGCCTTACTTCTGTACCTGAAAAAATGAAGTTAATATTATTAAAATCTACTTTAGTAGGGTGACTATTAAGTGAGTTAGGGCTCTTGCCTACTTTGTGTAAAGCCAAGGGTTTGATCCACAGTACTTACAAATAGAATAAATCATTCATTTCTACATTCTGATTACAGATGCAATGTGACAAAATGACCTCGTGCTGTCTTTCTTAAATTAATTGATAAAAAATAAACAAAATAGTTCATTAGTATTAGGAAACGAATGCTTAG